AATGAATTATGTTTCATAAATTTACACTAAAAAAATTATTGTTAGTTCAATATTCTAAAAATTAAGATCTGTGAAAAAAAACGCCATAAAAGAAAATTTTGTTATATTATCATCTATCGGAACAAGTCGGTTTGCAAATGTGGAATTCTGCTATTTCCGTTATTTTTTACAAGGAATAATAAAAAAGAATTTTTGTTTTGGATTGCAAACAAAATTGCTATATCCGTAAATTCGCTATATCCATGGACTTACTAAACAAGTTTTTACTGTAAATGGTTACCAATTTCTTCATATTTTAAAAATTATGATAAATTTATAGTCAAAATTTATTCCAATGTCTGTATTATATGTCTTTAACTTTTATGAATGTCCGACTTTCAATTTTTTGTTTCAAGATATATAATGTCTTTATTGTAAATTTCTAATATTGATTTGAGTTGATTTGTAGTATATTGGACATCAAATCACACAATTCAACTTTGTGATAACCCCTGTGAAAGTAATATATAAAGGATTTTGATTCCGATTCAAACTGAATATTAAGTAAAAAGTACAAGATCTTCGCTATCACCGTCTTCTGTAATATGTGTGACAATTAGTAGGAAGCTTATTTTAAACCAACATTTGGCCTGTGCGGTTTGCATACATATACAAAGTATTTACAAATAGATCGTTCATAAAATACTGTGTATTATTGCAATTCTTTATACATTCACTTTATAATTCCGGCCACCAACCACTCCATTTTAAAAAAAAAAGCGCATTGATTGCCCATCGTATACCCATCGCTAGATAATATGACCGATTATTTAAGTAATTCTTGGACAATATGGATAGCTCACACCATAGATTACAACCTATTACCACCGGTTTACGGCAATCAGCTAGGAAATATGACTAAGGCATAAGAAGGCGTGGTTTCCGATCGGTAATCTAAATTAATCGGACGGTGACTGAGGTCATTTGGCGAATCGTTATGGGTCATTGGTAGAAAATAAGCTGTAGTTAAAAATCTGTAGTTTAAAATCATCGAAGTCTTCACCGATGCCTTATATCACTCATTATATGCAACCCATCATGAACACATCCTTTAAGGATTGGCCCATGTATGGCCGAGCATCGCCAAGTGTCCGTTGAATAAGAGGTCATCTGGTTGGGGTGGGGGTAAATGGCGGGCAACAGACATCCGTCGATCGATATCATAAACATCAGCCGATTACCCTGGAGCATTGAATTATGAAAAGCATTGCATCGCTGGGCCTTTGTAAGTCCGGCAAACAACCACACCATTTCATTCGAAGAACACTTTGGTTGCCCATCGAATATCCCATCGCTGGATATTGTGACTGATACTTTAAGGACTATAAGACCGATGTGGACAGAGATTGAGGCATCACGCACACCACAGAATATGCTTTAGTCACATTCCCTGGCTGGTGGCCATAGACCGGTTGTAATCTTTGGTGATCCGTTGTGTGATCGATGCCCCAACATCGGTTCACATTAGCCTAGTAGTACTTACCTATCAGTCACATTATCTATCAATGGTGTGTATAATTGGAAACCGATGCGTTTTTTTTTTAATAATAAATGGCGTGGTTGCCGGCGGTATTAATACATGTAAAGGCCCAGTGATGCATTGGTAATCATGAATCGATGTTCCAGGGAAATCGGCCAATGTATATTATATCACTTATACATTCTTGAAGATCGTTCGTACGTCTGTCGACTATTGGTCAATGTTTGGTCGAAGATCGACCAATGATCGGCCGATTTCTGTTGCTCACCACTAAACCCTGTTGACATCAGATTCAAGGGACACTTGATTTTCTGCCATACCTCTGCCAAGTCTTGAAAAATGTTCAAATAATAGGTTGCCGATGAGAAACAATGAGGGACATCGGTGGATACATTGCTGATTATTCAACTTATTTCTATCGAGAACCCCCACCGATTCGTCAAATGGCCTCAGTTACCGTCAGACTATTATAGATGTCCAACTGGCAACCCCGCAAAAAAGCGCATCAGTTTCTCATCGTATGCCCCATCGCTGGATAATGTAACTGATACTTTACCACTGATAACCACCGTTCTACAGCCACCGGCCGGAAAATGTGACAAAAAACCCAGTCATATTTCCAAAAACGACCAGCGGCCGATGGGTTTTGAAGCAAAAATGGGATTTTTCAGGTGACAGTCGGCAGTTCATCAGCCATTGTCTTGCCCGATTTTGACCTCTTTTTTGTCGGCCCACAAATTTTGTGTCCATCGATCCAAGTTATATTTTTTTTCTGCGTCGGTGGCTGATTTCTTCCACTGAAGTTACCCGTCGGCCAACCTTCGATAATCGTCCTACTATCGGCAATCAGTTTAAGTATCAGTCACATTATCCAGCGATGGAGTATACGATGAGAAACCGATGCATTTTTTTTATGAAAATGGCGTGGTTGCCGGCTGGGCACCACTAGTAAACGGCCGGTGACTGAGGCTTTTTTGCGAATCAGAGGGATCATCGGTAGGAAATAATTCGTATTTAAAATTCAGCGATGTCTCCAACGATGCCTAACATCGCTCCTCATCGGCAACCCATCGTTAACACATCTTTAAAGGATCGGCCGATGTATGGCCGAGCATCGTCCAATATCCGTTGAATCTGAGGTCATCGGGGAGTTGAGTGGTGTTCAACAAACAACAGCCGATCATCGGTCAATGTTCGACCAAACATTGGCCCGTAGTCGACGGATGTACGAACGATGTTCACCAATGTATGAGCGATGTAATGTACATCGGCCGATTATCCTGGAACATTGTTTTATGATTAGCAATGCATTGCTGGGCCTTTGTAAGTCCGGGCGGCAACCACGCCATGTTTATCATAAAGCGCACCGGTTGCCCATCGGATACCCATCGCTGGATAATGTGACTGGTACTTTTAGGACTGCTAGGCCGATGTTGACCGATGTTTGGGCATCTTTAACACCACGGATTACAATCGATTACCACCGGTCCACGGCTACAGACCGGGAAATGTTACCTGGGCATTAGTTATAAGGCATAAGTCGGCCGCTAATGCCGTATTCGCATTTCCGGGCCGATGGCTGTAGACCAGTAGTTACATGTATCAGTGGTCATCCAAGCAAACAAACAAAACAAACATTAAATATACGACTGTTAAGGTGGTCAAATATCCATTTTCATGACAATTTTTAGATTGTAATTAGAATCTCCTGGATATAATTATTAGTTTATTTTCCATTGTATTATAAATCAGTAAAGATTAAAAAAATATACCTCGTTTGTGTTGTTTGAAATATTTGATAGCAAATGCCAAACCTTCTAACTCATTTGTATGTAAACAATAATAGTAAATCTAATTAGCATATACGAGGAGCTATCAAGAAGTTCGTGGACTAGCACCATATAATTAATACCGCTTTAGGTACATCAATGAATTTTTTATATTAATTTATCATCATCTTTTCTATCTATATAATAGACCACGTGCACAAATCATGATTTTTTTAAAAATAAATTAGTAACTTTGTTGTAAGCAATGGTATGTCCAGGCGGCACAACTTCGAAAACGAGGTAACTGTGATAACTATTTTGATATGAGCATTCAACATTCAAAAATTCCGTGAATTCACTGGTACATGTCTGTGTTGGACCACTTTTAAAATATAGATTTATTACCTCATTCTGGATGTTCTATGAAATTTTATTGTAAATTTCACATGGAGTATTCCAAAAAAATATTGTATTGAAAATCACGTCGAAAGAGGAGGGGGTTTCCTTTTTCAACATTGTATAAAGATATACCCCTGAAAAAAAATGGTATACACCTAAGAAATTTTTAAACTGACTACGGAAAAAATAAAATGCATCCGGATTACTTGTTTTTTAATACCAAAATACATGCAGAGAAAAAACTGATGCAAAGTTAATGTCAAATTTAAGTCAAGGTTTGAAAAATCTTCCACGTCAATTCATCAGATAATGACGTTGATCATGTGTTTTAGCTTTATTGAAATCCAAAACTAAAGCACAAATTTGCTAGTACAATCAAGCAAGGATATATCTCTACGCATAGATCCATTTACAATTAGAGGTACCGTGGACGAAATTCAATGAAACTTTCACAGAACCTTTATTACTTATTGTCATTGCGCACCTCCTATTGTTCTTCTATGGTCTGTCTTATAATTTGGGTTTCCCACCCACAGCAAAAAATGGACTTTGCCATTATAATCATATGGGAGGCCGGGGCTATCATTTAGATAGCTCATTGCTTGCAGTACCTCTAGTTTTTTTACGTTATCAAAGCCCCAGTATTGTATTGTATACTAAAGAGCAGATCGGCCTTATTTCAGTTTTTAAAAATCTGCTATTTTTATTATTATTATTAAAGGAAAGGTTTACATTTGTGTAAATAACGAAGAGAAATAATTTTCAATTATTATTATTTTAAATGATTACTTATAAAAATAGTTACGTTCCTTTTTTAATAAGTGGACATCTATCAAGTTTATAATAAAACTATTGAAGACTTTAAAAGTTTTGATTTTTAAATGAGGATAATTTCACTTAAAATGTTTTCCTATATAAAAAAGTTAACAAGTTGTTTACCTTCATAAATGGAAGGGAATCTTATTAATATTTAGCCATAATTACGATTTTTAAAGGATGTATATGAATTATTCATTGACTAAGTTAAATGCACCTTTTAGTAAAGGCGACGATCAGAAACGTATGTAAACATTAAAAATGCATAAAAAATTATCCAAATTATCATTTTTGTATGAAAGGAAAAAATGAATTTTTCTGTTGAGCTATCAATTGTCGGCATCGCCAAGCTTCCAAAAACGATTTTGGGATCGTCAGCAACTATCACTGATTCACCACTGCCAATCACTTGTTTACCAATTTTTTATGCAAATAAATTATCTTTAAATAGAGACTTGGTACTAACGTACACAGTCTACACATAGACATCAGCCAAAATGCAAGCTGCAAAGGTAAGTGAAATTTCAAGATATGTGTCATACGTGTAATTATCAACATTAAGTTCTTAAATTCTATGAGTAGTAAATATATAGTTTCAATTCCGTCGAATAAGGGAAACTGGATGGAAGTAAATTCTATGCATTTAACTTTTTTAAAAAAGTATATTTTCAAAAATAATTTACCAAAGGAATATGGAAACATAATGTGTCATTACTTTTTTTCAAAAAACGGCCAAGCGATATCACCTTGATTGTTTCATAAAAAACTTTTAGGCATACTTCTATATAATATACTTTTATTAAGAGAATGTTCAAGTTAATCCTGTAATTGAATAAAATCTTTTAAAAAATATTTATTATCAGAACAATTTATGTAATTGCTCGTTTGAATAAGATCTTCTGATAAGCACCCTGAGTGGAATTTCATTAAATAATTACTTTTGATAATCAACGATTTCATTCTACTGATGTGTTGAATTACAATTTCTGTGTGTGTTTTTTTTTTAATTTTCTTTGTTTATATTTGTAGTATTTGTATCATGTTTGATGAAATGCGAGCATTTTTTTCAAAATATTTAATATAAAACAGAATATTCATATATGAATTTTGAAATATGTTGTGTTATTCTTGCAAACCGACTTGGAATTGATTTGAATATCATATTGTGTATACTCACGCGTAAATATATATACGAAGACGTGACGTTGCAACGAGGTGCTACAGAGATGCATATTAAATTGAAATGATATTTTATATCAGCGCGAAATTCCAAAATTAAAATTATTATTTTGCTTCTAAACATATTAAATGTAAATATAAGGAACTTTTTTTTTTCAAATTTACGTGTATGTAAGTAAATCACACATAGACTTTTCAGGTATGGAAAAATTTTCTAAATTGATGTTTACATCCATATTCAGTTTTTGATTTAAAAAAAAATGGATGTTACCGTTTACATTTATGTTTATAACATTAAGTAATTTTTTCCGAGAACTTTTCATAATTTGATTTATATATTTTTTATACTTATTTTTACTCCAGTTTTTATTTGGTTGGTTGAAATTTACACTGTTTCTCTAAAGGTTGTCATTTTCCCGATCAAGGACATAAACAATTTATCATTTCTGAAAACAGAACAAAGTCTGCTACAATACAACTTTGTTCACGCAGGTTTAAAATTAAAATGTGGCTGTGTAAGATGTACATTCATACAGATGAGACCTCCACAGCAAAATACTTTGAACTGTTTGAAGGTCTGTAATTAACATTAGGGTCTAGAGATAGCAGTATTTTAAATAGAAATACCGCGGACAATGTCTTTCACGAGTAGTGGTCAGCAATTAAACTCTTGGCGAGCCCAAGATATGCAAATTTCTTTGGCAAAGATTTTGATACAAATCAAAAATCCAATTGAACAGAAAGTATTTTTATTAGAATACGGTGCATTTTATTGATACGTTCATAACAGCCTAGGCTCTCGATACATATACCATGGACGTGCTAAAAAGAAACAGTGTTTTTTTTTGTTTTTTTTTACAATTATTCTCTCAGGTGAATGCTAATTGATTTAATCTTGTTCTTATTTTTAAGATCCTTATTGTGTTGATCGTTGGGTATGTTGCCCGCCTACAAGCTGTGTCCCTGCCAGAGAGATCCAGCAACCTTCGTAAGTCACACACATCCTCTTAGAAAGAATAAGAATGATATGTAACGCAACTATTTTAAAAAAAATGCCTGGAAATTCCAATTCGATGTTAATTTCAAAGTGCGTTTACCGTTCACGGTAGCTCTGTCGGTAGAGGGCTCGCTCCGTGATCGGAATTCGTTAGTTCGTATCTCGGCCGCCACTGTCCTACAGTACCGACCAGACCCAACCTGACACAAAGCAGTCAAAGAGCAGTCCCGGGGACTGCTTTCTGGGACTGCTAAAGCAGTCCCAGAGCAGTCCCATAGCGGTCCCAGAGCAGTCCCACAGCAGTCCCAGAGCGGTCCCAGCAGTCCCAGCGATCCCAGAGAGCAGTCCCAGCAGTCCCAGAAAGCAGTCCCAGTGGGCGGGGTCTATTAATTTAATGGGCGGAGCTAACTCAGAAATGAGATTTGCAATAAACAATGGAACTATAAAAGGCAGTAGAAATTGATTCTGGGTAGTATGCCGGGACTCCTTATATGTATGCGAAGGTCATTTATGAACAGTACGCGCATAGAAACAAATTGAATGATTATTTATTGAAGGAAGAAGGGTTTCACACGTACATGTATGAATTAAACTGAACATGAACATTTAATCACAATTATCGGGTGTATTAAGTTAATAATTCGATTTCTTTATTTTCTGTGTTTTATACTGTGTCCCATTTTATTTTTTATACAGAAAATTAAACGTGAATTAATTATTTTCCACCAGTAAGAATTAGATTTAAATAGATCTCATCATTATATGGCCAATTTCCATACTAGCGGGATTTTAGAAAATTCTTTTTTAATTTTGCCAAATATTTTTTTTCAGTCATGATTATTTTTACTGACATGTCAATCTAATTATTGTTAATATCTGTATCTCTTTAATACTCAGTTTTAAGCGTTTTATTTGTAAATGTTAGAATATTAATGCACATATCTAATTCACCAGAATGGAACCATCAGATTATGTTCAAAATTAATTAATCCTGAAAGAAATTCAAACACATTTTCGAAATCAATTTTATTTCTGCGTTATATACCGGTAGATGGAAATTAGGGTCATTGTTGACCAGCATGTTCAATGATGTGAAACGCTGATAGGTATACCAAAATAGCATGCACTGATTTTCTGCCCTAAGGCGATTGAAACCGCGGGTGTTGATACCAAGTAATAAACATTAATCGGCCAGGTACATGTAAACACAAGCAAAAGAAAAAAGAAATTAATCACAATTCCCGGTATTTTCAACTCTTTATTTATGAAATAAATTTTCTCTTTTGATAACTTGTTTATAAATTAAAATCTACCGGTAATTCATTAATAAAGTCCCCTATGATTGTTCAAATTGTTTGAGTTATGGAAGAATGGTAGCATAATTTTATTTCATGGTCATTTAATAAACTGTTAGGCTTTATTTTAGGGTTGCATGGGATACTTTTCTAGAGTGGTGCTCGTAAAACATAAAGCTTTTCAATTGAAAATATTATATCTAACTGTATAAGGATTATTTTTAAATAGTGTCAATGCAAATTTGGAGTGCACATAATTTTACAATAAATAATAAAATAGACCTACATGTAGATATTTTTTCTCATAAACCTATACCTTATTTTTAGGGATAAAAATCTACTTTTGACTTCCTTATTTAAAAAAAAAATATTTGTGTAAATGTACAGTCTCTGAAAATATTAACTATAATAATTATGGAAAGATTGTAAGAAATCCTTGCTTTTTTAATAGTTTAAACTCCTCTCTGCTGCTAGTAAACAAAACTGCAAATTCAGAATACACAAGGGGGCGGAGCTATCATGTCACTCAGAACTTCTTTCACGCATGAGTGAACAAAGCAGTCCCAGAAAGCAGTCCCAGGGACAGCTGGGACTGCTGGGTCTGCTTTTCAGAGCAGTCCCAGGGCAGTCCCATAGCAGTCCCAGAGCAGTCCCACGGCGGTCCCAGAGCAGTCCCACAGCAGTCCCAGAGCGGTCCCAAAGCAGTCCCGGGGACTGCTTTCTGGGACTGCTTTGGTGTCAGGTTGGGTCTGGTCGGTACTGTAGTCGTTAAAATTGGTAGCAACTGTTCCTTCGCCATGCGCTTGGCATGAAGTGAAAGTTGCGGATCCTTCGGATGAGACCTTAAAAACCGACGCCCCGTGTCAGCGGCATGCGTTGGCATGATAAAGATCCCTTACTGCTCAATGGCCCTGAGTGCCGAGTAAAGGTAAAAATTTGAAGCAATTCACCGGCATACGGTGACGTCTCCATATGAGTGAAAAATTCTCGAGAGGGACGTTAAACAATATACAATCAATCAATCAAACTGCGTTTGATTTATTTATCAGTAAGTTGCCCGCGTGGCATACGTTTAGTGGTTAGAGTGCTTGATTTGATTTCCAGTGAGGGACATGGAGACCGATCCTACGTACGAGACATTTATAATTACATAAACATAAAGAATGCAATGATGATTAATTATCAATCGCATCGAAAATAGTTGACAAATGTTATCATTTTAAACTATCCATTAGGTTTCGCCAAAGGTCAACATGTCTAAAAAATTATTTTTATAATAAGCAAATATATGATCAGAAATATATAACATTGTGGTATTTAAATCTAATATTTTTACAGTTTATAAATATATCATTGATCAAGAGATAGAAAGTATCGCTTGATAATAAATACAAGTAAGGACATTTTTATCGAGAATACTATTCGTTACGTCCATATCACCCTTTGTAAAAATGGACATATTTTTAAAGGAGACTGCTAGTACCTAATTATTTCATACGTCTCATGCGTGGCGCAGTGATTAGAGCGTCTGCTCTAGAGTCGCGAATTAAGGAGTCAATCCTTAGGTCGTGGGTTCGAATCCCACTGCGTGGAGACCGGTCCTTTGGATGAGACTGTACGAGGCCCCGTGTTGCAGTAGGTGTTGGCACAAAAAAGATCCCTCACTGCTCAAAGGCCCCAAGCATAGGACAAAATTTGTAGCCCTCCACCGGTAGCTCAGTCGGTAGAGCGCTCGCTCCGTGATCGGGAGGTTGTGAGTTCGCATCTCGGCCGCGACATTTGACCTAAGTCGACAAGAAATGGGTAGCAACTGTTTCTTCGTTATGCGGTCGGCATTTTGAAGTGAAACTTGCAGGTCCTTTGGATGAGACCTTAAAAATCGAGGCCCCGTGTCAGGGGCAGGCGTTGGCACGATAAAGATCCGTCACTGCTCAATGGCCCTGAGTGCCGAGTAAAGGTCAAAATTTGAAGCCTTTCACCGGCATACGGTGACATCTCCATATGAGTGAAAAATTCTCGAGAGGGACGTTAAAACAATATACTATCAATCAATCAATCCAGAACTTTTCCTTGCATTTTCTCTGAGCGTCTGTCTATCTTAGGTCATGGTCAATCACCACTGCTGTCATGTCCTCCCATTTGTTACCTTCACGATTAAAATACTCCTCAAGGTTTTCATTAATCTCCTGTTTATTAAGAATTTAATTGCAAAATGGATTTAAAGGCGGGGCTAGGAAGGAGTTCACAGTTTATGGCTCTTTAATGAGGCTCAATTTAATTTGAATGTTAATTAGAAAGGCATGACATTTTAGGGTTTTGAAAAGGCCTGATATAAAATTAAAATTTGGAAACATATACAGCGACCCGTTCAAAACAGTGATCATCAGAAATGCTGTACATGCAGAGGTCTAAAACATTATTCAGGAAAAATGTAGATGTATATAGCTTTTCCTCTGAGGTAATTCTTGCCATACGTACTGAAAATGAAGATTGTTGGGAGCTTCTAACATAAAATAATAATTCCTAATGTAATCTTCGCACATTAATTGAGTGTATGGTCAATAATATCAGCAATGCAAAATTTTGTATGTTGTACATGTAAGGGGCCTGATATTTATTTAGATAAATTATTGTAGACATCCTCATGATCATGTTAGTTATAAATTTACATGGCTACACATTAGGTCCCGCCTCCTTATTGTAACCTTAAATGTGCTGCGTTTTTACAAATGCCAACAACTTATGATACAGATCAGCTTGAAAACCGAGATTCTGAATGAACCATATGAAGCACGCCTGGGCATAGTTAAAACACTGACTCAAAAAATACTATTTTGACCGAAAATGAACCGGGATATTAAAAAATTTATTTTGCAATGTGCAGTGTGCAACAAGTAAAGAAATTTTTACTGCAAGGAACCATTGATTCCTCAGGAGATTCCTTCACGTTCCTCGGACAAAGTCTCAGCATATATGTATTTCAGTTCGAAGATTCGGAATATCTTTTGTGTGTCGTTTGATATTTTGAATTTCCAGATAGTCCCAATACCATCAACATCAAGTTCACAAGCAATTACTGCGTTTAAATCTGTGTTTGCTTGTCATAGCATTCCGACAGATCTATTCATGGACAACGGACCTCAGTTCTACTAAACTGCGTATTTTTAGTAATCACTACTTTGTGTGATATCATGGGCCCCGAAGGTATTTTCCGGGATTTATATTTAAGCACCCTCTAGTTACAGTTATTATCAAAATAAATGTTGGCTCGAAAAATGTGGTTAAAATTTTTTACCCACCTTCAACCATAAATTTTCACTATAGAAAAAACATGATTGTACAAGTTTCTTGATATAAGGTGTGGAATATCTTTTGGACCAAATCTTCTGCTACATTCTGAAATGGTAATACATGTATCTGTAATCTGATCTGGCATTTGTAATAAATGCTCTATACACACACCTTCTCCCTCTTTATTATTTAACATGCTGCAGAACAGAGTTGTAAATATGTTTCAGGTTCATATGAACCCAATTTTTCACCCGTTGCAGTATTAAAAAGCACATGAAAATTTTATTTTTACCCGTGTTGCATTCTTAAAGAGTTTAGGTGTGAAACATTTATAGCAAAACACCCTGTATATTGTTTCAGAAACTCGCTGGAACTGGAAATATAACCGATGTAAAAATGGTGGTACACGCATAACAACATTCAAAGGTTGGAGGTTAAAATCCAATACACAGAGGGGACCTCAGTTCACATGTTCCTGTCCTGAGAGGTTTTATGGGAATGTATGTCAGTGTAAGTCACATTATGTTTTTAAAATATTACGGTGAGACCATCTTTTCCTGTTAGGATCATTTTTGTACACAAAAAAATAGTTAAAGATTTATCATGTCGAAACTGAAAATATCGAAATAAATCTAAAAACCTACTAAACTACATCCTGTGATGTATTCAATGTTCGTGAATCATAAGGTCTTTCGAGAGACACTGTAAACCAGCTATTTGTTGCATCATCTTTTAATTGCAATTCGTCATTTTGAAATCAATTTGCAACTATTAATTGTCAGGGAAAAAGAGAAAGTTAATAAATATGTTGCGACTATTAATTGCTTCCTAAAGTTGGTCGCGAATAATTACAGTTTATAACAATGAAGGGTTTTTTTTTTTCAATTTGAAAGTCCATGTATGCGACCATCATGATTGTCAGAAGGGAGCGTGTGAGGCAGATAAGACCAATGCACGTGGTTACAAATGTAACTGTATGGAAGGTTACAAAGGGAAGAATTGTGAAGGTAATTTATATAAAAGTATAAGCATCAAACATTGAGTGAGATCATAAAATCCATTTATCTCATGTATCCAATGTTCGCAAATCATAAGGTCATACTAGAGAGATATAACAATGAATCGTTTAATTTCAAAGTTTTATTTTTCTAGTCCATGTATGCGATCAGCATGATTGTCAGAATGGAACTTGTGAGGTAGACACGACCCGTGCACTTGGTTACAAATGTAACTGCTTGGAAGGTTACAAGGGGGAGAATTGTGAAGGTAATTTAGATAAAAGTATAAGCATCAAACATTGAGTGAGATCATAAAATCCATTTATCTCAAGTATTCGGTATTTATGAATTATAAGGTCTTATGAGAGAGATATAACAATATATCATATACCTTACACTGTATCAGCCCTGATACAGACGTTTTGGACTAGGCGAGACAGCGCCTGGGAAGGGCTGTCTCGCCCTCGGGGCTGAGATACCTCTGTCCCGGCCCGTCGTCTAGTAGCTGTCTAGCCCCTCAAATTTTGAATCATTATTTCTGTTTAATTAGTGTGAATTAAGAGTAAAATTCATATATAAGTATGAAAGAGTAACAATATATCTCGAAAAAATTAACCTGATTTTTTAAAAATTATTTATATATACTAGAATTTTAAGAAAATTGTTTTAAAAAGTGCGCCAAATAATAGCACTTGTGACGAAAGAGACGTAACTCTTGTTTACTTCTAGGACAGCAACAAATCATCTTTTGAAAAAAAAAACTGGACGTTTATTTGCTTTGACAGTAAGACAATACCAAGTTTTCATTTAATGTCTAATTTTTAATGAAAATATTTATAGTAAACAAAACAAATAGTTACTATAAATTTCAGACTGATATGTTGAAGAAAGTGTAATGCCGGTTCGATACAAAGTGAAAGTAGAATATTTTTAAGTTTTGGACTTTTTTTAAAATTGTTATCTTATGTGCTTCAAAACAAATTGTTTCAAAACACCAGGACTATTCTTTTTATTGGCCAGACCAGACAAATCTTACTCTATATAATATGATTATTCACCGTCAAGCAACATCTTCAGGAACATGGGAATAAAGAAAGATAACTCTAATCTTCTTACGACACACATCTTGATCGAAAAATATCTGAATATTTATTCTTTTTCTTTGGTTTTAGATATATGATATAAACACATCACACCACTGTTTTGATCTCGTCTCTGGTATCAGTCCTCGGATGGTCTAGGCCTGCCCCCTCCTGGCTTGGGTCGATACCAACCGCTCGGGCTGATACCAGGGCCGAGATCAAAACAGCAGTGTGATATTCTTTATAAATCGTTTAAATTAAAAGTTTTGTTTTTCTAGTTCATGTATGCGATCAACATGTTTGTCAGAATGGAACTTGTGAGCCAGTTACATGTAAGACCAGTACACGTGGTTACAAATGTAACTGTATGGAAGGTTACAAAGGGGAGAATTGTAACGGTAATTTATATAAAAGTATAAGCTAGAAACAATGACTAAGATCATAAAATCCATTTATCTCATGTATTCAATGTTCGCAAATCATAAGGTCATACGAGAGAGATATAACAATGAATCGTTTAAATTCAAAGTTTTATTTTTCTAGTCCATGTATGCGATCATCATGATTGTCAGAATGGAACTTGTGAGGCAGATACAACCCGTGCACTTGGTCACAAATGTAACTGTTTGGAAGGTTACAAGGGGGAGAGTTGTGACGGTAATTTATATAATTTTTTTATTATTATATAGACTACAGAGGTCCTTTACATGCCCCAGTGGTCAGAGCAGTTGTTCATGCGTCGCAAAGTTATGGGTTCTTAATTTCTTAGTTTCTGAAGAATGCTTCTATACAAGTTTCATCTTTCCAGGCCCAGTGGCTCTTGAAAAAAAGATTGTTAAAGATCTCTCGTATGCAATCCTATGTTAAATTTTATACCCCATTGTGGGTCCGCCCTATCCCCGGGGGTCCTAACTTGAACAAAATCAAATATTCCCTTTTAGATGATGTTTCTGCATGTGTTTTATCTTTTCTGGCCCAATAAAGATTTTTCCTATGTTTTCCTATTTCAATTTTTTTTACCCAATTTGTCCCCACTCCAACCCTAACCCTGAAGCATTCTTTGGTAACGAAATTTAATTTTTTTCTAATCATGACCCCGGGGTGGGTAGGGACCACAGTTGAATAGCAAAGTTAAGGATATGCATACATCTTGAAAAATCTTGATAAATCTTCTTCTCAAGATTCACTGAGCCAGTAAAAATAAAATCTGTTTAGAAGCATCCTTTGGTAGCAAAAGATTCAAATTCGTTCAAATAATGACTACAAGGGGGAAAGGTGGGGCCATAGTGGGTTATCAACATATGACATAGGAATACATGGGAAAAACCTTTTAATACAAGTACATATACAACCCTTTAGTAGTCTTTAAGGATACTTTCCAATTATCTCTTAGAATTTTGCGGCTTCATTTTTCTCCTTTTTAGCGAAAATGTCTGTAACATTTATTTCAAACTCAGATTTTTCACTGACTATAAATACATATAATATTAGTGCATTACAAATTAGATGTTTTCAGCTTTTTCTTAATTTTTGGTGTATTGATATTTTTATGTCCAGACAAAACTTTTTTTCTAGTCCCTGTATGCGATCAACATGATTGTAAGAATGGAACTTGTGATGCAGATAAGACCAGAACACGTGGTTACAAATGTAACTGTATAGAAGGTTATGAAGGGGAGAATTGTGAAGGTAATTTTTATAAAATTGTTTTTTTTATTTTATATACAGCAGAAGTCGCCCATATGCCACAGTGATAAGTGCAGTTGTACTTGAGTCGCACATTATGCAGTTGATACTTACAATGCAAATACGAATCCCATTGTTAGCTCACCTGAACCGAAGGCTCATTTAAGCTCTTCTGATCAAAATTTGTCTGTTGTATTTCGCTGCTGTAGTTGTTTTTGTTGTTGATACCATTTCACATTTTCATCTTCTGAAGAGCCACTGGGCCAATTTTAACCAAACCTGCTACAAAATAGCCTTGATTAGGGGATTCAACTTTGTTTAAACGAAGGTTCATGTCCTTTTCCAAGGCGACATAATTATAAATAAGTGAAAAATTAATGACATCTGAAAAAAACCTCCTCAGGAACCACTGGGCCAGGAAAGATGACACTCAAGTGGAATCATCCTCATGTCACTTAGATGCACATGTGTGCATATTGTGATCCCTGAGGTAGGGCTACAGTGGTGTATCAAAATTTAACATTGGAATACATAGAAAAATATCTTTAAAAATCTTTTTCTCAAGATTTACTGGGTCAGGAAAGATAAAACTCATGATCTTGCATAAACATCTTCCCAAGAAAAAACATATAACTTTGTTCAAATCATGACCTCGAGGGTAGGGTGGGGCCACAATGAGGTATAAAATTTTAGCATTGGAAAGATCTTTAAAACTCTTTTTAGGCGACCTGTTAACGGTTTATTCCTAAAAATTTTTAAAGAAACTCTACATGATAAGAAAAATCTTGCTGTGACATTGATCTCGACATTAGGCATACATTTTTAAATGTACTTGTATAAAAACTTTTGAATCAATTAAAAATGGCAACTTTCACTTAAAAGTCAACTCAATATATACCAAATGATCTCAGAAGGTACAAGTCTGTAACATTTATTTCATACTCTGATCAGTTACTCACAATAAATACATAAAATATTAGCGCATTTCAATCTTCCATTTTCCTTAGTTTTAGTATTGATGTTCTGATCCCCAATATTTTCTTTGTTTTCTAGTCCATGTATGCGATCGGCATGATTGTAAGAATGGAACTTGTGAATCAGATACGACCAGAACACGTGGTTACAAATGTAACTGTTTGGAAGGTTATGGAGGGGAGAATTGTGAAGGTAATTTATATCAATGTGTTTATCATTTTATGTACAGCAGAATCGCCCTCATGCCGCAGTGACAAATGCAGTTGTTTTTGAGTCGCAGAGTATGAAGTCGATACTAACGTTATTTCATAAATATTCATGAGATGTGTCACTTGTGTTTTGACGTACTGAAGAAATGCCTGATAGGACTCAAAGTGCAATGCTATTAAAATTGCGTGTTTTTTGTAAGAAATACAGGGATCTAACAAATGTTAGCAAATTACTGGTCATCGATGGATTGAATTGTGCATCAGGATATCGAACTGCAGTTAACGGTAATTCGCTTTTACAACAACTTGCCTAAACTCAGCGCTGAAAATCGTCATTTTTCGACAATAGAGTTGATTTACCCGAACTTTCATTTCTTAAACTTTCCTGTTCTTTGTAAAGCAAAAATTTCATGAACTAAACCAAAGTGTAAGATATCGGCGCGATTCTACAGGCTGATTCATGTAAGTTTTTGGTCACAAAGGGCACTCATAGTGCTTTTTGTAAGCAAAAATTACATAAATTAGCCATAAGTCAGAAAGATTACAGAGTGGATTTATAAAACAACCCCAATTTTAAAATCTATATAACCTAACCCAAATCACTCGATTGGATGCGTGTTGAAGCGAGTGGGAAATTGCGGTTTGTTTACATTCTGCATAGCAACGGCAAGGGAAATAACTGCTCATGCGCAATCGAGTGATTCTGGGGACCGGCATACTAGAAACTTCCCAAACTATCTTTTCAAAAACCTCTGGTCCAGCAAAGATGAAACTCTTGTGGAATCCTCTTCAGGTCGTGTAGATTGAAATGTGTTCATATTCTGACCTCCGGAGTAAGTATTGGGCCACAGTCGGGTATCAAGGTTTAACATAAGAGTACATAGAAAAAACCTCAATAATCTTCTTTTCAAGATTCACTAAGACCAGAGCACGTGGTTACAAATGTAGTTGTATGGAAGGTTACGAAGGGAAGAATTGTGAAGGTAATTCATATAAAAATGTTTATTATTTTTGTCACGACACCCTAAGCTTGATCAGTGATAACAAGACTATTTTTCTATTTACAATTTTATATATAATATAAAAACAAATATGTACAAATATACAAAATGAAAATTAAAGAATTTCAAAATGTCTATCAGTGTCCATCCTGAGACCACGTTCCTATATCCGTCCCCGCCTCCTGTGTTTAACGGTCCATGACCTACGGGTACCACGCCCTTACACCAAATGCCACCACGTCCTCGACGTCCCGCGCCTATCCCACGCGTCTTAAACGTCTGCAATGCTGCCAAATCCGGGAAACCACGTTTCCTTTCTCACGGTCTCGGCCCAGCGTACCACGCCCTTAGGTTGCCTCCGCCGACAGCACCAAATCATACTAACGTACATGTATCAATAGGGACCTTCAACAAATATGCGTAGACATAATAAGCTTGACCTCGAACGGCTACCTTACAACATAACATAAATGTTTACACATATACTTGTTTAAACATACAGTTTTAACTAACATGTATCACACCGCCTCGCAAAGCAAAATAATAATACAATGTAACGTTACACTTTGAGTAATAAACTAATATCATTACTTTACGCTTAAACTCACGGCATGTGCACGTGGTAAAATTCCCGTATACAATTCAAACACTTTCTCGTGGATAAAAATAGAATAAGCTCAATTAACATAATACTGCATTACTTTTTAATATAATAAATGTAAGTAAATTACACTTACCCTGATTGGAGATTCAGTTACCACGAAAAACTACCTAACCCTCCATGGACATGTGAAACTACTTTCACTGGTCAAGGAAAACGTGCGCTACCCAAGACAAACCTGACATCACCTTATATAGCGACTGGCCAAATATTTAAATCACCTGAGCGTTACAATGGGGCTCCTTGCAGGATAAACACTAAATACAAATAAGGCTCAACACAGGGCAATACTAATAAAAGAAAAACAAATAAACATGTAACAAAATCAACTTTGATTGTGACATCACCTCCCCAATTCAAGAAAGTTCACTGAACTTGTGCAAAACTCACAATCAACAACAACAAAAACATTTGTACAAAACTATAATGTTCATAATGTCTCACTCAAATCCTACAACCTACTTAGACAATCAGCTCCAACTATCTAGATAACTTCCTAAACGAACTGCTAATTGTGTAAAGGTTTCACCTACCTCTGGTCTACACCTACGGAAATATTCTCGAAAACCGTCCTCTGTTTTCTCAAACCTCCTCAGCAAAGCTGTTTTAAGGGCTGCATAATCCAGAGCCTTTTCTTGTGGAAGTAGGGCATAGACATCAAGAGCTCGTCCTTTAAGTAATGCGCTTAAGTTCACGGCCCCTATTCCTTCGTTCCACTTCTGTGCTATAGCGTATCTTTCGAATCGTCTAAGAAAAGAGTCTATGTCATCTTTAACCTCATCAAAGTATGGCATTTTAGGAACCTTTGCTAATGAACCATCAGATATGTCTGACTTAGCAGCTTTAGATTCTGTCTCTTTCAAACTCAACTGGTATTTAAGTTCTTGTACATTAGCTTGGTACTTACTTTCCAGTGCATCTAGTGATTTCTTTTCTTCTAGTCGGAGCTTCTCTACTTCCAACGCTTCTCTCTTCAATTCATAGTCTCTGTCCTTTTTTGTCTCTCTCTTTGCTCAACTCTGAGTTCTCGCAGATGTGCCTGTTGTTCACGGATGAACCTCTGAAGATCCGCTCCCGTCAACTCCAAACTTTGACCATATGCAGTCAGCTCTTTTAACAAATCCATCTCAAAAATCGCCAGTAAATAAACCAACTATCAAACAACATAAACTGACACAAAAATGACAAAAGCAAAATATCACTCCAGGAAAACTGAACTAAATCGAAATCAAACCTTCATAACACAAACTAATTCATGGTTACGTCCTCTCCACTCAGGGTCCCTTAACTTCTCTCTGAACGTCTCTCTACAACAATACAATATAGAAAAAAAAATTATGACTTCAATACAAAAAATAAAACAATATTTTTTTCCAAACGTTCAGTACAATTTACACAAAAAACATTTAAAAAAAAAAAACAATCACTGATCAAAGCTAACATCATTATCCCACTTCTGACACCATTGTCACGACACCCTAAGCTTGATCAGTGATAACAAGACTATTTTTCTATTTACAATTTTATATATAATATAAAAACAAATATGTACAAATATACAAAATGAAAATTAATGAATTTCAAAATGTCTATCAGTGTCCATCCTGAGACCACGTTCCTATATCCGTCCCCGCCTCCTGTGTTTAACGGTCCATGACCTACGGGTACCACGCCCTTACACCAAATGCCACCACGTCCTCGACGTCCCGCGCCTATCCCACGCGTTTTAAGCGTCTGCAATGCTGCCAAATCCGGGAAACCACGTTTCCTTTCTCACGGTCTCGGCCCAGCGTACCACGCCCTTAGGTTGCCTCCGCCGACAGCACCAAATTATACTAACGTACATGTATCAATAGGGACCTTCAACAAATATGCGTAGACATAATAAGCTTGACCCCGAACGGCTACCTTACAACATAACATAAATGTTTACACATATACTTGTTTAAACATACAGTTTTAACTAACATGTATCACACCGCTTCGCAAAGCAAAATAATAATACAATGTAACGTTACACTTTGAGTAATAAACTAATATCATTACTTTACGCTTAAACTCACGGCATGTGCACGTGGTAAAATTCCCGTATACAATTCAAACACTTTCTCGTGGATAAAAATAGAATAAGCTCAATTAACATAATACTGCATTACTTTTTAATATAATAAATGTAAGTAAATTACACTTACCCTGATTGGAGATTCAGTTACCACGAAAAACTACCTAACCCTCCATGGACATGTGAAACTACTTTCACTGGTCAAGGAAAACGTGCGCTACCCAAGACAAACCTGACATCACCTTATATAGCGACTGGCCAAATATTTAAATCACCTGAGCGTTACAATGGGGCTCCTTGCAGGATAAACACTAAATACAAATAAGGCTCAACACAGGGCAATACTAATAAAAGAAAAACAAATAAACATGTAACAAAGTCAACTTTGATTGTGACAATTTTATATACAGCAAAAGTCGCCCTCATGTCACAGTGATATGTGCAATGGTAATTGACTCGAGCTCGCAAAGTATGCAGTTGATACGTACGTCGCAAGTATGAACCCCACTGCAGGAAACGGAGGCCGATTCTTCTATCGTTACTATTGTTAGCTCACCTGAGCCAAAGGCATAACCGAGCTTTTATGATCAAAATGTTTCCGTTGTTTTTCGTTGTTGTTGTTGTCGTCGTATTTTACTTTCAACATTTTTTGCAAGAGCCGCTGGGCCAATTTCCACTAAAGTATCCAAGACTAAAGGGGATTTCAGATTGTTATTGTTCAAATGAAAGGCCACGTCCTTTTCCAAGGGAAGATAATAATGGATTAGTGAAAAATTAATTACATAATCAGGAAATCATATTTTCAAGAAACACGGGGCCAAGAAACTCATCTGGAATTGTCTTCAGGTCGTGTAGTATTGAGTTAGTATTGTGTTAGTTTTGGGCCAGAGGCGGATATCAAAGTTTAACATAGGAATAAATAGAAAAAAAACCATAAAATTCTTCATCTAAAGATTCACCGGGCCAGTTAAGATGAAACCTGTTTAGAAGCATCCTTTGGTAACGACGATTTAAGTTGACCCCCTGGGGGTAGGGTGAGGCCAAAGTAGGTATCAAAGCTTAACAAAGGAATATATGGGGAAAAACCTTTTAATACAAGTACATAAACAACCCTAATGTAGTCTTAAATTGTTCCAAATATCTGTTGGAATTTTGCGGCTTCATTTTGCTACTTTTTAGCCGACATGTTACCCGTACACTCCTAAATTCATTTTTAAAAATCTAAAGATGAGAATAAATTCTTGCTGTGTCCTTTAATCTCGATTTTAGACATCCATTTGTAAATATTCTTGTATTAAAACGTTTGTATCAATGAAAAATATTTACTATCACTTTCTGTCATATTACAAAATTTCGTGGGGGGGGGGGTAATTTTTGTGGTTTTCGAGGTATGAAGAGACCCAAGAAATCATGTCTACAACGAATTTCAACGTTTCATGTATATTTCTTCTGAACAATTCTTCAACAACGAAATCAAGTCCCCAGGAAACAATAAATTTTCCTCAAAACACAAAAATTTGACACCTCAAAAATATGTGATTTTACAGTAAAAGTTAACTCGATATATCCCAATGATGTAACAATTATTTCATACTCAGATTTTTTTACTGACTATAAATACATATAATATGTTTGCATCACAATGGAAATGTCTTTTTTTATTTCTGTATAAATATTTCTAATGTCCTCCATTTTTTTGTTTTCATAGTCAATGTATGCGATCATCATGATTGTCAGAATGGAACTTGTGGGGCAGATAAGACCAGTGCACGTGGTTACAGATGTAACTGTGTTGAAAGTTATGGAGGGGAGAATTGTGAAGGTAATTTATGTAAAAAGTGTTTATCATTTTTATTATGCTTCTGTGAATTTGTTCTATATCAAAATATGACGAATATACATGCTATTTTTTTCAAATAGTCCCTACCGTGGAATAGTTTTCTGTGCTATCTTCTCATGGTGAAATACTCATCAAACAATTCACCGGCAGCATTCTGTTTCCCTCGCTTTTCAGCCTTCTGATTTAATACGGATTGTGACGTATATAGTATGACGTAACGAAAGTAAAATCAGCCTCGGTATAATAAAGAATTGATTTACTGACTATTCGGACAATAGCAAGTGTATCGTCTCCCTCGACGGCAAGCTAATTTCCTCGGCTGCGCCCCTGGTAATAGTTTGCTGTCTTAGGGGACGACAAATTTGCTATTCTCTTCATAAGCCAGTTAAAAGTTGTATAATATGCAGCAGAAATGGACCATATGCCACAGTGATAAGTGCAGTTGTTCTTGAGTCGCAGATTATACAGTCGATACTTACGTCCTTTATACAAACACCACTGAGGGAAATGGAGGCCGATTCTTTTATCGATTTTAATGTAAGCTGACCTGAACTGAAGGTTCATGCGAGATTTTTTGATCAAAATTGGCTGTCGTTCATATAGTTGATGTCGGCGTTGCCGTCGTCGTTAACTTTCTCGATTTTCATCTTTTTCTCAAGAACCACTGGGCTAATTTTAACCAAATCTACTACAAGGTATCCATGGGTGAAGGGATTGCACATTGTTCAAATGAAAGGATACTTCCTTTTTCAACGGGAGATTATCATGGATTAGTGAAAAATAAATAGCATCAGTACTAAAAATAAATTTCTTAAGATTTACAAGGCCAGTAAAGATAAAACTTGTACAAAAACATCAGTTGGTAGCGAAGATTCAACTTTGTTCAAATCATGTCTTTAAGGGGTAGGGTGGGATCACAGTTGGGTATCAAAGTTTGGCATCGGAATACAAGTATATATACAACCCTTATGTATTCTTAAAGGTACGGATTGTTACAGAGTGATGTGTGCAACGCGAGGTCATAGTGGCAACATATTTTGACAGGCTTTATTGAAAGATATGGAAATAATGAATGGTCTACTGACAATAAAAAAAAATTAAAAGACTTACATTCACACACTTCACCTGAAAAGCCTTTCGGACAAGTACATATGAACTCAAGTCCAGTTGATTCTACACAAGTTCCTCTATACAGACATGGATTAAATTAACAATCCGTGTAAGTCAATCAACGTCAACGCAGATTTAAAAAAGAATTAAACCTAGACCACTTGATTCCGGTCTTTGGTTTAAAAACAGTGTATTAAAACGAATCTTTTCAGTCATACGAACGTTGCATATTGTACCGAATTTCGATTTTTTTTCCTGTATAGCTGATATATGTGAAAGCCATGGTTGTAAGAATGGAGGAAGCTGTGTGGCTGATCAGTCTGTAATACGATTAATTAAATTAAATTAATGAATTTGTACACCCTTTTAGCTTATTCAAAGATTTTACGGAAAGTTCATGGACACATACATTATTTAAGGATATTTTTTGTATACTGTATAAAGTCTCTCTGAGTGTTGTGAAAAAGGTTTTTTGAATATCTTTGTTAATTTTTACCCTAATGTAATTCATAATTGCTTAAATAAATGAAAATCAGAGCAATGCAAATGAAAAAATAACAAGACAAAATAACTGAATTTAAAATCAAGAAGAATCAGTACGTCGTTTTTGCTTCCTAAGTAAGTATTAAATTATTACATTTTCTGTCGATTTTGTCATAATACAACCTAGTCATGATAAAACTTTATATGTCACGTGTAAGGGAGCAAATACTTTACCGAGTGAACTACCAGGACAGGGACGAAAAAAAGGCAAACTATTTTCATTAAAGAACGATTGAAAATTGTCAGCTTTCAAAAAACATCAAATTCAAAGTTTAAATCATTGGGAATTTCAAGTATCAAAACACTCCTATATGTTTTGTTAAATTAGAATGTATGCAAAAGATTAAACAAAAACTATCTGCTAAAATAATATGAGTGCTATTTAGTTTACTAAATTGACAACTTTGAAATTTTAACTATAGTTTGTTAACAGTATAACACTCTTACCATAAATCAAGGCATACAGCAAACTGACTTTGTTTCATTCCCCGTTAGTTTATCATTTGTTGTGAACTTGATGTATATTACGAAAGAGAAAAAAGTGGTTTACTATTTCAAAATGAATCCTTGATTCTAGTCCGCGTTTGTGACAGTCATGTCTGTATGAATGGAGGCTTGTGTGAAGCAGACCAGACCAGCGCCCGGGGTTACAAGTGTAACTGTTTTTACGGTTATGTTGGAGACAGTTGTGAAGGTAAAATGTACAACAAGACCTTTATTTACTTCTTAAATATTTGCCAATTTTTTATGTCATTTTAAAGTAAACAATTTTACAATCTCTACATGTATATGATTCAATTTTATTTAACGATGTAAGTATAAATGAATATGTAAATATTATTATAAGTATAAAAAATGTACAGAAGGGTTTACATATGTGAATGTAAGATCATTTTTGTACTCTCTTTGCTTGATTGTCAGTAGAGCGTTCATTGTCTCCATATATTTAACCTAAGGAAATCAAATATGTAGCAACTATACCTTTGTTATGCACACATCTCTTTAAAGTGAAAAATAGGAGGCCTTTGGATAAGACCTTGAAAAAACAAGAGCTGTGTAGGCGTTAATATAATAAAGATCTCTCACTTTCTAACGACCTTGAGTTCCGAGTAAACGTCGAGAATTGAAGCCCATTGAAATATGTTGCGATCTCTATATGAGTGAAAATTTCCATAATTTGACACAAAATACAACATAAAATCAATCAATTATCTGTTTTATGAATTGACTGTATGTAGATTTTGCCACACCTGATAGTTTTGCTTTTTTAGACATTAATTGGCACCAAAGACAATTGAGGAGTTAAAATTCTTTATTTTGCCAATAACTCCCGTGAAAAAATATCTCAGTATCAAGGACTCACCCATACTACCCCTAATTATAAAGTCTTAAGTCGAGCGCTCGGCTTAATGACTGTTAATAAACACAGATTTAAAGAAAAATCAAAATTTGAGCCACATGAGAATGCTTTTCGTTGTAAATATTATTACTAACCTTTTAAGTTATGCGAACGTTGTTTATTGTATCAAATTTCGATATTTTATCTGAATAGTTGATATATGTGACGGCCATGATTGTAAGAATGGAGGAAACTGTGTGGCCGACCAGTCTTTAATACGAGGATACACGTGTAGCTGTGTTACTGGATATGTCGGAGACAATTGTGAAGGTAAACTGTATACAACTTACAGCACTTAAATGATTTAATGTTTTAGGTCATTTGATGTGAACTTGAAGTATATAACCGAAAAAGAAAGATTTGGTTTACTTTTTCAAAATGAATCCTTGATTCTAGTCGGTGTTTGTGACAGCAATGTCTGTATGAATGGAGGCTTGTGTGAAGCAGAACAAACAAGTGACCGAATTTACAAGTGTAACTGTTTTTACGGTTATGTTGGAGACAATTGTGAAGGTAATATATACAATAAGACCTTTATTTACTTCATAAACATTTGTAATTTTTTTGTCATTCTAAAATGAACATTTTTACCATCTCTTTATAATTCAATTTCGATAACGATATAAGTTTAAATGAATATGTAAACATTCTTACAAGCAGGATAAAATACGCAATGTTAGCCCATCCTATACTTTAAAAATCAATTCTTCAGTGATTTTTAATAAATAGATTAAAATACGTATAAAGTAAAAGTAAATCAACAAATGAACATCAGAAACGATGTATGTAGTTATGATCAGATCAATTTGTTTTAATAAAGAACAGTATTTGTGTTAAAATGTCTATTTAACAATACAAAATAGGTGCATAGGAAACACGGACCTCCAAAACATGAAAGTTTTGAACATGCACCTTGAAGAAGTGAGAAAATCAAAGGATCAAATTAGAAGGACAAATCACATTCTATAGATTGCTTTCTTAAAAAAACGAAACAAACAAACAAACAACAAACAAAACAAAACAAAAACAAAACAAGGATGGCTGTATTTCTTTTAATTTGATTTTTCAGTTCTCGCAATAGACTGTAAGGTGTATCGTGACATTGGTTACACTGAGTCAGGTGTGTACAGTATTTATCCCTTTGGACCTAGCTCTGAGTCTGTAAGAACCTATTGTGATATGGAGACCTTGGACGGAGGCTGGACAGTATGTAGTTTATTTTTAAATCTTTAAGATTAGCGCAGTGGGATATATATAAAAAGGCATCTTACATGTACACATAAGTTCATGTCTCCCTTATAAAAGGCTCAAATGTAGCCATTACTTTTTAAGCTAATATTTATTTAGAACAAAAATGCTGTTTTAATTGGTTGTACTAAAAAACAATTCTTGTCTCAAAAAACACGTGTGAAATATAAAAGCCATATAGTCCCACTCAGTCGAAAGTTATGGACAAGGTTATCCATTTTTGTGAGATGTTTGAAACTCCATTCATAGAAAACCAAATATTTTATAAGATCTCATTTTCTAAGCTAGCACCCATATTTGCGCCAGTTTTACAAAAGGAATCAAAAACGTTAGACTTTTGAAAAATAAAACTTGGTTTTTGCAAATTATTAAACCAGGGTAAAATCAAAGAAATTCATAATTATGAATCCTTTAAATTTTAAAGTTTCCTTTTTTGACACCAGCTACTAATGACCTTTTTAAAGATTAAAATGGCAAATGTGGAAACTTACTTTAAAAAATATAATAAAAGATTCTATAAATACGAGTATCTTCGTTCAAAGAGCCTAAGAACATTTTAATAGGCATTAATATTCTTGAATGGGGATAAAACGGTTTTTATTATTAATGTAAGGTATACGAGGGTCATTCAATAAATAATCAATCGCTCAAGGCATTTCCTGTTACCCTTTACTTATGTCTTAAGTCTTTGTATCCATAAATAGAAGTCCTCAGCATATGCATCTTTAGGGATGTCCCAAAGACACTGATGACTATCAATTTTCCGTGACATATCAGACATTGTACAATCTTCTTTGGTTTGTTTTGATGTTTTTTGGGAATGAAAAGATCTCACAGTGGCTGCGATCAAGCTAATATGGGTGAATAAAAAGTCCTGTATACTTTCTTTTCTTCAGAATCTTATTTATCTTCCTTTGCAGGAAATCCGATAAACTTTCCTTTATGCACTTTGAACATAAATCGTAGCATTGCTAGTCCTTCATTTGGATGTATGTATATGTTTTAATGGACCTCTTTAAAAACACGAAAACTAATAACACATGTTTAGATCCTTTGATTTTCTTTATCATTATAACATGACTTTTTCTTTGTTCCACATTTTTTATCATTTATTTTATTTTACGGCTAAAAAAGTGCATCCATATTTCGTCAAACATGAAGCAAGTTTACCAATTTGAAATCTTCTAATTTGTTTAACCATGAGTTTTTAAATAGACCGTGAACGGCAAATTTAACGCATGTTTTCTCTTGGGCATTTGTCATATTGTCTCTACATGTAAATATTGCATTTTCCAATTTCATGTGGCACATAAAGTCGATAATTTTTGGTGTGCCCACTCTCTCTTTAAAAGAACTTTTCATGTAAAAAATACCTCAACATTTTTTTATGATATACCGTAAATTAAATTACTTATGGAACGACCCTCGTAGTATAGCTTTGATTTCTTTATTTAAGCATAAAAGCTTTCAGAAATTAAATCTTCATATCAGAAGGCTACTTGATATTACCCGTATACATTTGCAAAACAAGAATATTCCTACCAAAACAAATGTTTTTGCATAAAAGAAAACAAGGGTTCATTATTTTACGGAGTCTTTTTTTCTAAAATGCACACGGAGGAAAACGACAACAAGGCCAAAATTTGCACAAAAACTTGGTCATTTTTCTAAGTAGAATTTTGACCAGGGGGTCAAATTTCTACGTAGAAAAATGACACCAGATCTATACGGTCTACGGAGGTACCTTTTTGTCGTTACACCGGTCTCCACGTCTCACAGTGGGATTCGAACATCCTTCGTAAGGATTGACTCCTTATATTGCGGATCGAGAGCAGATACTCTAACCACTACGCTTCGCGGCCAAAGGGGATAAAAAACAAAACACAGTTTAACATGACAATAATGATCTCTGATTGTTTATCTTTCAAAGGCAATCCAAAATCGAATAAACGAATCAGTGAGCTTTGAGCGGAACTGGGCAGATTATAGGATTGGCTTCGGTGGACCGGAACACAGTTTTTGGATTGGTAAATATAAAATAAGTTAAGATATAAAAAAATAAATGCAATTAGTGATTTCCTCCCAATCTAGACCAAAATCTGTATTAATAGAGATAAAGATTATATTTTCCTTTTTGGGTAATTTTCATTCTGCTGTATAAACATGTATTCCGTGAATGACTAATGAAAGTCACTCATGAAACAAAATCAAGGAATTTTGTAGAAATATATTTTAGATAAATACTCATATACAATGATTCAATATCACAGAGAAAAGGAGGGTCAGTTGGCATCTTATAATTACTAATCAACGGCAAATAATTCCTTTCTTTTAGAACTAAATGTGTTATTATTAGGTCAATCAGTTTAAATGTTACCTTCTTTTATTGGATGTAAAATAATTGTTATGATAAAATTTATTGAAAAAAAAAGAATCATGCAACCAACTATGTATTGGTCAGACTGACTAGGTTATTAAAACAATACCCTTTAAATAAGTACATGTATAAAACATGTCGTATAAAAGGTTGTTTTTCATACCAAATCCAATTTAACAAACAAAATTTATTAATTAGAAACACACATATATAAATTACATCATTTTATTTCAACTTCAAACAGGAAACGACGCGATCCACCAATTAACAAAGGGAAATGACTCGTCATTGTATGTTACCATCAAACTAAGGGATGGCCGAACGCTGTATGAATTGTACGATCGTTTCCTTGTTTCCAGTGAAACAGAGAATTATCAACTCTTCTTAGGAGGACCTGCCTCAGGAACACTAGGTGCGTGACCTAGATACTCGGGAGAATGGGGAGTGATAAAGTATGGTAGAAATATCGAATGAAAATACAAAACCAGGTGATAGAATGAGAGAAAGAGGGGAGATTGTTAAAATGTAGACTTCATAGGATGCATTTTCTCTTCTGATTTATTCTTCTAGGTAGCTAAATTGAACTAGTGAACCGAAAATCAAATTTCGTTATATTTGACAAACATATATTTTATGGATTATTTTTCAATTTTTACACTTTTGGTGTAGAATAGATACGAGGGAGATTATATTATCATGTGCTATTAAAGGTACTTGGACACAGATTTGAAGTTAATATTTTCTCATTTTTTATTGTATAATATCACGAATTATATATTCTAATAGCATTTCACACAAAACTTAATTAAAAGTCTTATTTCATTTAAAAGTTATTAAAACTTAAAATTTTTTGGCGGGTTTGATTGACACATCCTTGCAATTTCACAAATTTTAACTTCATTCTTAATCCTTAGAAAAAGTGGCAATTTTGATGTGTTTTAATGAGAAATATTAAAACTTTTATCAAGAAAAATAATTTTATTTAGAGTAGAAAGGTTAGAAATCAAACCACCTTCACAAGTATCGTCATTCCGAACTGTACACAGTTTTTCTAAACAGGGCTCGAGTTCTGTTATTGTTTATAGATAGAATTCACTGGGTGCGTTCAATCGTCACAGTCTGCTTACCACAACTGCACGGACTGACAATATGTTGTGTGTTTGTTTTGCTTTCGGACGTGTCTACTCTGAATTTTCTGGATTATAGTATTAATATTTTTCATTTATACAAAACGAGATTGCCACTTTTCCTAAGGATTACATGTAAGAATAAAATTAAATTTGTGAGAGTGCAAGGATATGTCAATCAAACCCGCCGAAAATTTTGAAATTTCAATATCTTTAAAACGAAGTAAGATTTTTAATTAATTTTTGTGTGAAATGCTATTAAAATATATAAGTCGTAATATTATAGAGAAAAAAATAACTTCAAATCTGTGTCCAAGTACCTTTAAACTGCATGATACAATGTTCGAAAAACAACGTCATGATCAATACATTTTTTTAATCACTGAGTCAACCTTTGAGAAAAAGATGTATATTAAGCGAAATGAATTTACATTTCTGATATTTTAAGATATTTTAATCGTTTCTTCGAATTGATATTCATTTGAATAGAAAATCTATACTGGTATCGAGATTGCTTTTCAAAAAATGATTTTAAATTGAATGCTACGAGTCTCTACATTATAAAATATAAAATAAGTAGAGTACGAGATATTAGTTATGGTGTCATATTGATTCACTTCACCTAAACAATAATTGTTTCTATGACAAGGTTACAGGTGACTTTTCATGCTAAGCAAAAACAATTTTATGAACAAATCTGAGTTTTAAATGCCTTATTGCAATTTGTATATATAACATTGTTGAATAAGTATTATCTGTATACGATGCACTACTATTCTTACAGTACATTAATGTAAATAAGAATCGATTTATGTTAAATAAGCATGATAAATGTGTAATATTTTCTATTTCTTTATTTATAGGTGACGGTATGCTACATACACAAGATAATATATTTGATCTTTCTGGAATGTACTTTAGTACATTTGACAAGGACAACGACAGGAGCGGATCTAACTGTGCCGAGTTTTATAGGGGCGGATGGTGGTTTAACGCATGCTTTAATGCATTCCTTAACGGTCCTTGGGCTATGGAGGACTGGGCCTATCCCTGGTTCCCAACAGTTCTTTCTGGAGAGGACGTGATGGAGACCAGAATGATGGTTAAGAGACTCTAAAATCCGTTTTAACTCGCTATGCTAAGTTCGTACATGTTACGCTTTAGTAGTCACTTAGAAGACTCTCTTAGAATGGATATTTTTTTTTACATGTATTACATAATTAGAACTTTTTTATTTATGATTATATAAAACCTATTAAATTCTACGTACATTTAAACTTTAAGAATATTTTTTATGTCAATCAACGTAATGGGAGTGTTCTTCTCACATTAAAATTAAAATGGTCGTATGAGAATTGTATTTTTGTCATTGTGTTCGGAAATAATAACGTGTAGTGGCCAAGCCTTGTTATCGTTGCATGGCCTGGAGGTGATAGGAGACTTTTCAAATTCAGTGCGGATCATAAAAGATCATGATAGATATATTGTTCACTGTAAAAAAAAATCAAGCAACTCTTACAATGCCTTTCTTTGCACAGAATGTCCGATCTTAAAATGTATAATATTTAGCGTGTATGATATTTGGCGGAAATTGATTTTTGAACAAGTTAGCGTAGATTTGAGTTAGCGCATTTCTCAATGTCCTTATTTACAGTCCCTTAAACGTTCTACTTTCCCATTTTCCGTTCGTTCAGCGTTCGTTCCTGTGAACCGTGTGAACTTGATGATTGAAAATAAAAGCCAATGATTACTGTCAAATATGGATTTGTTAATCTAAAAAAAATGATTACCTTTACTGCATGGAATATTTAGGGAAAATTATAAGAGTTTTTATTTGATACAACCTATATGTGAGAATTAAGTCTCTCTCTCTCTCTCTCTCTCTCTCTCTCTCTCTCTCTCTCTCTCGTTCATTTCTCTGTTCAATAAAAACTATGACAGCACAGTACTTATTTAGTTTTGAAAATGTAATCTATTACAAATAATTTGAATGCCGCTTTACATCATCTTGACCGAGCATACACACGGCCGGTAATTTTCTACAGACATATTTACATGTAGAAGTTATCTAATATATAACTTCATAAAAGAATAAAAATGACACATCATTTTTTTATATTTTGCATTAGAATAAGAAAGAAAACAAGAGTTTTTTATACAATGCGTCAACAGACAATTGTGAATTCAAAAAAAAAAAAAATCCATGTTTTACTCAGAATCGCCTTGGCACGGAAATACATATATGGTTGTTTCAACAGTGTACAATGTAATTAATTCATTCTTTAAGTAGTAGTTTTATCTTCAGAAGTCCACATTATTTAATTAGTGAAAGAATAAGCATATTTACGATATAAATAGATTAATTTTATATGTAATCTACACGCGTTCGGAACCAAACACACATGTTTTACGGCAATTAAAATCGTGTTATTAAAATATCGATTTAAAACATACGTACCTATATGTTCAAACAAAAGTTTTTATTTATTTATTTATTTATCTATTGTTTATTTATATTAAAGCACCTGAATTAAGTTAGAGAATAATAGAATAATCTCAATGCAAGGAAAAGACCGGATGCATTCCGAAAAAATCGTTCATCTTGCGTTCGCCGTTCGATCACCGTTCACTTTGCTCTCGCGTTCGCGCTCCGTTCGCGTTCTGCGTTCACTCACCGTTCACTGTTCACACATCGTTTACCAAGTTGCGTTCAGCGTTCGCACATCGTTCACTCACCGTTCGCTCTGCGTTCGTTCACCGTTCGTTCAGCATTCGTTCACCGTTCAGGTGTGAAAGTAGAACGTTTCAGGGACTGTATGTATATGTGTCAAGACATTCAGAGTTGATCCAGAATTAGCGGCAGTTTTAATTTTTTTTTACACAAGAGGCGCTAAAAAGAATACACAGCCAAATGTAATACGTTTACAGTAGCTCTTCTTTGGAAAATGATTTTGATAACAGTCGACTTAATGCTGCGAACTGAACAATTTTATTATGTTTCCCTTATATCTGACTCAAAACCATCTTTTCACTTATCTTTTAAACTTCTTGACCAGGTTTATTTGTTCTAATATCAAAACATTACCACTTGGGGGATGGTAAGCGACCACACTAGCAATTAAATCTTAAAAACTAATCATGAAAACATAGACATTTGGTGAAAGTGTTGATGACAATTATCAAAGAGTCTTACAAGTGACGTGATAGATTTTTTCAAACTAGCCATATCATTGTGACATAACAGTCATCATGAACATGCATGTTTTAGATAGTTGAAAGTTGAAAATGTGGATATTTGGAAATAATAAAGGCTGGAAAGGAAAGGAAACATACATACGTTTAGATTTTTATGAATTACTTCTACAGTACACATATAATGAATGACTGTCTTATTTGTCGATTTCATAATGTGATCAATCGATTGGCTTGCGTGATAATTTGCATAAACTGAAGGCGTTTATGCTTTAAATTATCACACAAGCCAATCGATTGATCAACGTCAAAAAATTGAAAAATCTAACAGTTATTCCTTATATTTACATGCTTTGATTCCGCCAATCCACATGCTCCAAGCTCTGCTTCTCTCTTTTTGTTTGTCCCGACCTGCACGTAGTTTTTTTTTAGGATTCGCGCCAATACATTCTTTGGAATATAAAGTACATTTACAATTTGTAATTTTATCTCGGACAAAGACATTTGAAATGTAAATATTACTCAATATGAAAATGACTGCAAAGTACTGCATGTACATTAAAAGTTAATGATGTTTTGATACAGTTTTATTTTATCATTTTTCAGTGCATTAATTTTATTCACATAGAATAATTATTACTTTACACTCCTTCAGAGAAGGTCTTATATATCAATATATTAATCAAGACTGATTTTCTTCCAAGCACAGATTTTAAACAAGATTTTGTACTCTAATTAATGAACAAAGGGTGAAGATAACGAACAGTAAAAAACTCTCATTGTACAAACAAGTAAACTGAAGTGGACTTAAAAAATATGGTTAAGTTTCTGATTGTCAATATCCATATTGTTTTCCCCTGGGTACTAATTGCACCCCGTTATTAGGAGACCTGTTTTCTATTCATATAATTTAATTTCACTTGTATCAAGCAATTACATTGGCTGAATCATTCAGTGGAACTTATAATAATTTGTATAACATAACTTGCCTACGTCACAATGAATTACGTCAAAGATGTATTACTCCGCTTGACGTTACTTTTAAAATAATGCTCAATTTGAAGCCCTTTTCCGGAGGAAATATAGTCTCATTGTCTTCGCGGTTTATAAAGCGTAAACTGCCCCAAGTTATGTTATATCGGATAACATAAGTTGAAATAAGCTTCATTCCTTAAATAATGCAAACTTTTACTAAAATAAAATGCATGAAAAAAAAGAAAAATGCTTGCTTTGACATTCAAGTATATTGACGAGTTATAGACAATAAACATTAGTTACTCCCATTCTTATATATCTATATGATATATCTAGGTGAGCTTGAAATAAAGGATTCCAATGTCCAAATATGTTTTTTAAAAAGTTTATTTTTGTTTATCTTATTGGTGATATAGAAAATATTTTAAAAAAATAAATGAAAGTGTGTACAGATCGATTGTTTAAAGAAATTTGAGATTATTGACAAACTAGCAGACGTTTCGTTTAAAGTCATCTTTTTACAATTTTTATTATTTAATCTAGTGCTGACTGATGTTTTCCATACTGATCGTTAGGCCATTATCGACACGATGCACTGTCTGTGAATTTTTTTTCACACTAGTTTATTTAAATTGTTATTTCGCAGGGATGATAAAAAAGCATACAGAGCATTCTCTCTTGACTTAATCAGTAATACATTATGACGTCATGTAGACAAAATGACGTCAACTTTGAAAATAAAATTACCGTAATATTGGTACATTAAGTATTTTGAGGTATAATTTAACTCTAGAAACTAGATAGAAACCTGGAAACAATAACAAAAATCAAATGTTTTTATTTTGATATTCTGTATCTGTCATTTTGATTAAAATCAACCACCGATGACGTCATATATGTACATCAAGTAACTTGGCAATTGATCATGTCGTGTAAAGAGAAGTTGGCTAAGACGGCATGTATAAAGATACGTATATAGAGTTTTGAAGCAAATGTGAATATTATATAACATTCATATGGAGTTGAGTTAATCAATTAGGTATGCTAATTTATTTTCATCGATTATACATTTGTTCTCTTTCAAAAACTACGTATCCCAGTCGGCCTTTCCTCTGTCATTCGTAACAAAAAATAATGCAACAGAACAGCAAAAAGGTGGCTATTTCAAAACATAATATTTTTATATATGGAAAGTTTGCCTTCTAAAATACTTGGAAAGTGCTGCTAGAAGCCCGAGTTAAGCATGGTTTTACGAAAAAATGTATAACATTTAAAACATCAGGTCAGGTTTCGTGCGAATGTGTTGAAAAATTACTTCACTGACAGTGAAATTCTAGCAACACTTTTCAGACAAAAAAATGTTTTTCGACTTCATTATTTACTGAATTGTGAAGGTAATTTATGTAAAAGTGTTTATAATTTTATTATACTTCTGTGAATTTGTTCTATATCGATATGACGAATAAACTTGCTATCTTTTCCAAACAGTCCCTACCGTGAAATAATTTTTGTGCTATCTTTGCATGGTGAAATACTTATCAAACAATTCACAAGAAGCATTCTGTTTCCCTTGCTTTTCATCTCGAAAAACTTCTGATTTAATACGGATTGTGACGTATATATTATGACTTAACAAAAGTAAAGTCAGCGTCGGTATAATAGAAAACCTATTCATTGACTATTCGGACAATTGCTAGTGTACCGTCTCCCTCGACAGCAAACCATTTCCCTCGGCTGCGCCTCGGGTAATAGTTTGCTTTCTTGGGGAACGACAAATTTGCTTTTCTCTTCATAGGCCATTTAGAAGGTGTATAATATGCAGCAGAAATGGACCATATGCCACAGTGATAAGTGCAGTTGTTCTTGAGTCGCAGATTATACAGTCGATACTTACGTCCTAAATACAAACACCACTGCGGGGAATGGAAGCCGATTCTTCTATCGATATTA